GGGACCGTTGTCGCATGTTGGGTTCTCTTTTATTTTGGCGCCGTAGTCGGGCCATGAGTGTTTGGATGATGTAATGTTATTTATGTACTTGTTTGACGTGGCGAGTGTAAGCCAACTATGTTATCTCCCCTTTATTATTTATATTACATGGGATGTTGTGAAGATTGCCTAACTTGCGACATATGCCTTCAATGCGATTATGTCTCTAAGTCGTGCCTCGACACGTGGGAGCTATAGTCGCATCGAGGGTGTTACAGTTGGCCATCCCCGTGTGTTAGGGAACGCCCCCTCGATCCATAGATTGATCTTGTCAGACCGGCTCTATTGTCCAGGTCCTTGCATAAGTCGTAGGTATAGCCCGGGGACGTTACCTTCCTACCCCTACAGTGGGGTGGCACGGGCTGGTGTTCGGCATGAGTAGCCGATCTGTCTCGAACATGCGGTGGTCAGTCGGGCTTGTCAGCAGTTTTGTGCTTCGACGATATGGGCTCAAGGGCCTCGTCATCGAATTAGGGTAGTAGCCTGCGTTTCGGGTAACTCTTAGTTGGGCGCTCAAGGCCGTATTCCTCAGCAGCCAGGACATTGGTCCATCTATCATTGAGCAGATCCTCATCAGCTCGAAGATGCTGTCATTTCTTTTTCAGGCTTCTTGTAGTGGCGATTAGCTGGCGTTTAAAGCGCTCTTGTTCGAGGGGTTCCTCCGGCATGATAAAATCTTCGTTGTTGAGGCTCACATCCTCTTCGGACATCGGCAGGTAATTGCTGTCCTCCGAGCCCTCGTTCTTGACAGGATCGTCGGGTTGTGCTTGCCCATCCTCCCAATCATCATGTTCGGATGTTGGCTCTACATGAGCTCTGGGGTCTTCGGCATTCTCTGGAGTGCTATCGTCTCCGGTGCCGGTATTGTTGTCTTTGTCGCGGCGCGATTTTGAGCGGTGGCGCCGATGTCGATGCTTTGGAGGGGCTTCGACGGGCTTGTCCTCATCTGGATCCTTCTTGCCGTCATCGTCCTCCTTGGGTGTGTCCACCATGTACACGTCGTATGTGGAAGTGGTTGTACATCGTCTGGTAAACGGAGGGTCTTGGCCTTGTTCGTCTCCGACATCGTCGTCCATACTATCGCTGTCCTCGGAGGCGTAGTTCAGCATGTCGGTTAGGTCTTCGAAAGTGGCTATGAAGTGGGTGGTGGGTGGGACGTAAAATTCCCTGGTCTCAGCCCCTAGTCCGGGTTTGGCATAGTTTGAAAGCGATCCTTCCGCAATGGCGAGTGATCGCATCAAGTCTAGAGCCTCATTCAAAAGCAAGGTTTGGGCAGAGGAAAGAGAGTCCATGGGGCTATCCGGGGTTGGAGCCTCCTGGTCTCGCCTACTTAACACGGACCTTAAGAGTTCGGACTTGGAGTCCGGCGGAGTGTCCGGCACTTGAGCATCAAGGGGAGTTCGGTTCGTCATTGGGTTTGCCACTGACGTCATCCCCTCTGGATCTCCGATAGCAAATTCCATAGTTGCAGAGAGTCCTGCGGGCTCTAAACTCCCATCTTCGGACCTGACAACCCATTATGGATCTAAGGCCAGAGCGGCAATTGGGGTCGCGAACCCCTCGAAGATCAAGTCTCCTCGGATGTCGGCGACATAGTTTAGGTTCCCAAAACTAATCTAATGACCAGGGGCGTAGCTGTCGATCTGCTTGAGGTGGCCAATCGAGTTGGCACGCAGCATGAAGCCGTTGAATACAAAAATCTAGGGAAGAAAGGTCTTCATGGCGGCATTGTTGTAGATGATTGACGGAGCCATCGATCCTCCTGCTGACAACACAGAGGAACTCTCAATGAAAGCACCAATGTCGGTGTCAAAACCGGTAGATCTCGGGTAGGGGGTCCCGAACTGTGCGTCTTAGGATCGAAGGTAACAGGAGACAGGGACACGATGTTTACCCAGGTTCGGGCCCTCTTAATGGAGGTAATACCCTACTTCCTGCTTGATTGACTTTGATGAGTATAGGGGTTACAAGAGTTGATCTACCTCGAGATCGTAATGGATAAACCCTAGATGTCTAGCCTATATGATTACGATTGCCTCTATGGACCTAACCCTCCGGTTTATATAGACACTAGAGGGGGCTAGGGTTGTACAGAGTCGGTTTACAGAGAAAGGAATCTTCATATCCGGTGGCGGTGGGATCTCCTTCGCCTGTTCCTGGTGCAGGGGGGCACAGGGGGCTTCTCCTTCTCCTTGACTTGACGGCGAGCTTGGTGGCCGGCGCGCCATGATTCGGCGAGGCGCGCAGGCAGGCGGCTGAGCGAGGCGGCGGAACCCACTGGTCGGCCTTGGCGCGCTGCGGTGGTGGGTGCTGGCGGCCAGTGCGGTGCTTCTCGTCGCGGTGAAGATCGGGCCAGGCCAGATCCAATCTGGCCGGATGTGAGGGCATCGACTAGAGCTCGGCTGGAGGCATGGTGGAGCGGCAGGTCTGGCGGGGACAGGCAGCGCGGCTATGGTGGAGCCAGTGATGTCCAGAGGTGGCGGCGTGAGCTCATGGTCAGGCAGGTGATGGCGCTGAGATGGCTCGACCAGAATGGAGTTCTGGCGAGCAACGAGCTGTCGATCACCCCTGTGCAGTGCGGCGAACGACGGTGCGCTCCGGGTAGTGCCGGCACAGGAGTTCGTGGTGAGACAGATCTGGTTTGTCGCAAGGTCGTCCCTTGAAGTGGGCGACGACCGTCGTGGGCGGTCCTGGACTTTACCGGAGGAGTGGGGTGGCCGTGGTTCTTTGTCCAGGCTGGGTGTTGGTGGTGTGGTCGTGTTTTCCCCTTGCCATGCGTGCGGCCGGTCGTCGACCCTCGGCTTTGCGACTACGTCAACTAGGTGCTGCGGTGGGGACGGTGTGAGGCTACTTGGACAGTGCAGCCATTCCCTGGAGATGTGGTGAAGTGCGATGCGCGGATGAAAATCTTGCACGGATTTTGCCGGGCCGGCGATGGTGCCACCTATGGTTGTCATTCCCCTCCTTGGAGGCGTCGTCGAAGCGTGTTCGTCATTTCTCTTGCTCTTCGGGAACCGGTGGCTGTCTCCGGGCGAAAGCCTCGATTCCGTGGTGGATCTGCACGATGGCGGCGTCCTCGACATCGTCCCTCCGCTGGGAGCATGGTGTTTGGAGACATGGATGCTTCCTCGTTGTTCTCCTTCAGTGCTCGTCATTGTCCTTCCTTGATCCTCGACGACGCTATGTACGCCCGTCGCCGGTGTGTCCAAGACGACGTCTTCTTGGGATTGGATCGAGTCCTGCCATTCACTTGCCACTTCCTCTTAGGCGCTCAGAGTGGATGGTGCGTCGACAAGAGAAGCTCTACGGTAGTTGTGGTCTTTGGAGGTGACCGGCGTCGGTCGTGACGCGGTGTTGTGTTTCATCTTAGGATAGGCCCTCTGGTGTTGTAGTTTGCTTTGCGGTGGTGCCCGTCTTTGGTCTTTCTCGGGTGTGGTGTGAGCTACACTCGTTGTTCGCAGCGAGTGCTAGTTTTCTTGTAGTTGACTTTCTATCTTCTATAAAGCTATGGTACGCCTAGACGTACTCTCGAAAAATATGGTGTGTCTTGTTTATCTACAAGACTACAGACGTAAAGGGCACATAGACGATGAATCGGGTTGAAAATGACTAAGAGCAACTCCAACGGTCCGTCTACAAGACTTCCTGTAAAGCACCAGGATGATTGTAAATTTTAGGGAAAATTTCCCGAAAGCTACTTTTGTCGGGGGGCGGCGGTGGTGCAATGGGTTTCAGCGGTCATGTTGCGGCCAAAAGTTTACGGGAAGCAAAACTTCTCCTAAATTTGAAGAAAATTCGGGCCAAGTTTAAGGATCCTGTAAATTTATTCTATGAAATTTGTTGGAGGTATTTATTCACGCAAATTTTCTTTAAACGACAGTTTTTTTCTTTACAGATACGGGATGCGTTAGAGTTGCTCTAACGCCGAGTTTCCGTATAAAAGGAAGATTGCAAATCGTTTTGACATTGCTATGAGCTCATGGATTTATTCACTGTCCGATGCTAAAAGGAAAAAGTGTCCCATGCTACTACGGCGGTCGCCATGATTGCGACTCGGAGAGCGACGGCCCGAAACGTCCGGCCCACTGCGGCTGCACACCCACCCCCGTCCGCCCACTCCGCGCCTCAACTCTCAACGGCCCCGCCGCCCCGGCACCCCCTCTTATCCGTCGAGATTCGCGCCGCGTAGCCGATCCAGGCGGTCACGCCTCGTCCAGTCGACACGCACGAGACGGCAGCGACCGAGGCAAAGCATCATATACATCCACCCCCCCCTGGTCCGTCCAGAATTAAACAAGGACGAAAGCAACCGACGAAGAGGGAGGGGCGGGCGGAGAAGAGAGAAAGTCGCCGGCTCGCCGCCGCCGTTGTCGTCGGCGAGGCCACGGTCGCCGCCCTCCGCTCCCGATCGAGGGCCTGCTTCGTTCGTACCGCAGAGGTACCCCGTCCGTTTCCCGCCGTCTCCTTGTTTCCTTAGCCGCCCGATTCGGCGCGGTGGTTCGTTGATTTGATTGATTGATTGGTTGTGTTGGTTCGGCCGGTAGGTTTGGTTCGTTGGCCTCTTCAGTCTACAAGAACTCAGACAGCTCGCCGCCCACCCACCTACCATGTGGTGCGAGTTCCTTGGCGGCGTAATTGAAACCTCCAGGCGGCAGGTGGTGTGAGAGGTCCTTCCTCAATGCAGCCTCCGCATCTGCTGGTGAGTCCTGCTTGGTGGACTTCGTCGTGCTGAGATTGGGCGCTTGTTTCTTGGTTTCAAGAACTAGGTTGAAGTTGAACCCTGCGTGGCCGTGGCTAGTCCGGGCTGGATCATGGAGGTATGTAAAGCTCATTGGGTTTGCAGATTGCTGTAATTGTTGCGTTTCTTGTGTTGATATTTGTGATTATTTCATCAATTTGCAGCAACCAGGGCAGATCGCTTTTGCTCAAGCCTGATCAGTAGTGATTGTTCTCCAGTGAGCATGTCCTCGCCTAGCAAGACTTTGATGATGAGAGGGAAGAAAGCAAAGGTAGTGGAGGGGAATGCTCAGCTGCTCTGCAGTGATGCGCTCACCGAGGTCTTCCACAGGCTGCCTGCCCGCACCCTCGCTTCTTGCAGGATGGTATGCAAATCCTGGATGTCATTGCTTTCCGATGTGCATTTTGTTCACGAGCACCTGAACCGAAGCCAGCAGAAGTTGCTGCTCTTTGCAAATGACAGAGCAAATGATAGGTCTCTTGCCATGGTGCTCGCAGACGCCAATGGATACATGTACCAGCTGTCTAGGCCCTTGGTTGCTCAGACCCTGTTTGTGCACAACTCTTGCAACGGCCTGCTCTGCCTAGGTGACAGTAAAGGAGCAGTGGAGTTGCTCAACCCGACAACCGGTGAATCTCTTGTGTTGCCGAAGCCAATGTACACTGCAGGAAGCAGCCAATTCTCATCATGCAACTGGCACTGCTTGGGGTTTTGCCCGTCAACTAAGCAACACAAGATTGCACATTTTTACCCGGGAGCTCATGCTGGTTCTCTCGAGGTGCTCTGCGAGATATACACTATTGGAGATAGAGACTGGAGACAAATTGGGAGTCTCCGTGGGGCACCAATTGATAGAGGTATACATGTGAATGGTTCAGTGTATTATTTGACAAGGTTCCGTTATATCTCTTCATCACGTATCAATTGTTTGGATCTTCAACGTGAAAAGTTTGATGTCTTAATGCTTCCTCCACGCAAGACCTATGGAGGGCATTGTTCTTTGTCTGAGCTCGAGGGAAAACTATGTTTGTTAGTTGTGGATGGTGCGCTTGAAGGTATACCTCGTACAATGGACATATTAATGCTCGATAACGATGATAAGCAGAGTTGGACTCATAGATACCACATATCTTTGCCTCCGTTGATGCAATCATGTTATTTCACTCCAAGACACACACTTTTTCATGATTCCAAAATTTGGGTGCAGTTGTTTGCTCGGAACCTATACTGCTATGATCCAAATTCAAACTCTGAGGAATTGGAGATTGCCTGTCCAGAATCTGAGTTTCCTTTCAGCATTCATACGTTTGTTGAAAGTATAATTCCTCTGTGTCAAGATAATTTCATCAAGAAGATACAGTGATGTTGGTCTTCTTTATTCTTGAAGATAGATTTCAGCTTACAGATTTACATTATCTTTGTTGTTTTTTCTCTTCAAAAATGGACTTGTTAACTGCCTTAATTTGGCCTACTTTATCACTTTGTGATTAGTTATAAGAACAATCTTGAAAATTTCCTAACAACTCACTTTGTCTTGATTCTGAGAGTTGCATTAATTGTAATTTCATAATACACGGAAGACTTTATAGTCCAAGTTAGGAAGAATATTTTGCTCTTTTACATTTTGCTCTCTGTAATTGCTCTGGGAACAGCTTGGTTGAGATATTTTGCTCCAGCTTGTGAACCTGGATGGCTAGTCTGGCTTTGTGGCATGTAAAATCAGACTAATGACTTTCCATTACGGAGCTGCTCGTGACTAGTCTGGCTTTGTGGCATGTAAAAGCTTGGTTGCCTCCTTTTTTGCATGTAAAAGCTGGTTTGCATAGTCTGGCTTTCTGAAATTGACGCATGGTTGTGAGTGCACCCGTTTCTGCGTGTTTTGAAATTGATGCAGATTGTTCACATGATACTATCGTTTTTGTCTTCATAATGTTGTAAATGCAGCCTCAGGCCTCAAGCTGGCCATAGAGAGTACGGTTGCCATGTTGTGCAAGAGCTAGATTTCCCAAGCCCTGTACGCTAGGAAATCATGTTTGGCTCAAAGGAAAAATGATGATAACAGGAGTTGCTCCCCGGCTCCATTTTGCATCAAGAAAAGAAACCACAGCGTTCAGTTTCACATCAGCTCAGGTCAAACACAAAAGAAGAGATAGGCTCTCTACAGGATTCGAAACTAGAACAAACTTGAGCCATGCATTACATAGCTGAAGCAGCGACACTTTAAGGCCAGGCCATGTGATGTGCATCCAACTGAGGCATTTCTTCGAGAGCGGTTGATTGCCGCTTCCCATTACCATTTCCTCGGCATCCATCTTAGCTCTAGTTTCCTAGACAGGTCCCCTTCACAATCGACCTGCATCGCCGTCGGCGCGGAGCCGCCATTCCCCACCTTCTTCTGCTTCGACGGCACCTTTGCCCGCGTCGCCACCGGGTAAGGTACTCGTTGGAGAGGAGGGCATGCCGCTCTAGCTCGCGGCGCAGGTGAAGGTCGACACGCTGTGGCCGTACAGGTACTGCGACCAAACCACATGTATCGTGACACGCAGTGTCTGCAGGAGGATATGGCTTCATCTTGCCACGGCGTCGAGGTCCTGCGCTCAACGTACCGCAGGGCGGACATGCTCAGGAACAGAGCACCTGAACTGAAACGTACTCCCTCCATCCGAAAATACTCTCTTTTTATCCATTTTGATGATATGTATTTTCGAACGGAGGGAGTACAATAATTTCGACCTCTTTCCCAGTGAAAATTCAAAAGAAAATCGACCTCTTTGCGTTCTTGCAATACCCAAACTATGTGGTTGCTTTGACCATCAGTACGTTCTGAATGTCGTTATGATTGGTGAACAATGCAATATCCCAGATGATGCAAATGAGGATGATCTGATCCTTAAATGCCAATTTTTTTATTTCTTATTTTTGGGTGAGGAATGCCAATGTTGGCAGGGTTCGAACTTGAATAATTCTTAGAAATGCCACGGTCCTCGTGCCGAACGAACGCCATGTTGAAAAACATGGCGAAGTGGTCGCTGCATGAAAATCGACAGATCCAAGTTCTCAATTCCTAAATGAAAACAAAAACATAGGGCTTTACGCCAGCGTCGAAGGCTACACCAACACAACGAAGAAGAGGCCAGCGGACCAAATTGCAAAAGTAAGTCACCGCTGCCACCCCGGCAAGCCTTGCAAAGCTAGCCTAACTGGCTAGAGAGCCCGGCTAAAATCTACACCAACGAGCCATGCCACCGCTCGACTCCATCGAGATAGGGGGGCTCAAGAAAACTTTATTTACCAGATTTTCACGTGACTCACCTAAAAGCCCCAAAACAAGGAAAGATATGTCTCCATTTGGTAGATCGGTACCTCCCCCCACTCCAGAGGAAGGGTGACGTCTCACTCACCTTCGGAGAGGACATGACGATTTGTTGTCTTTTCTACACAAAGAAAGGCACTACTAAGGATATTTTATCTTTAAGCAATTTTACTTTCGACATGATTCATAAGCATGCCAAGCCCCGTGTAAGAAAGATAATTGAAAAATCATAACATTTTAGTTTTTTCTTAATTTATCATCAAAGGTTCTCCAATTGTTAGCATCCACGTCGGGCTAGACTAGTAGGCTTGACAGTTAGTCGTCAAAATAACATGATCCAAAGAACTTTTGGATCAAACTTTGTAATTTGCTGGAGACCGCGGAGGTAATGTGCAAACTCGGATTCTCCAAAACCGCGCCCTCCATAATTTTCTATCTCCCATTTCCATTTCTCTTATATCTGTGCAAATAATCGACATTCACATTGATGGTTGCGGAGGCATGTCGAAGTACTGAGTCAATGTTGATAACGATGGTGGACGGTCATTCACTAGTGCGCACGCGTCGCTGATGTCCAAGCCGACAAGGTGTTGGCCAAGGCGGCGACATAATGAGAAGGCGGGCAGTGCACGAGGCTCATGATTCGTACGAGACACTGGTGGAATTGACTCTAGGGTTGGGGCGGAGTCCATGGCGTCATCGGTAGGGCTGCGGACGTTGGAGGCATCGCTGCAGCGAGGAATGAGCGGTGGCGGCGCGGGCGCGGAGAAGGAACATGAGTGAAAATGTCTCCCGTGTCAAGTCATTTTTAAAAGGAATATGAACCCTTACTCCTACAAATGTAGGCACGAGGAATTATGTTGGATCCGAATTATACATTTCTAGCTATAAAGTACGGGTTGTCGACTATGCTAGAATATCATTTTTACGACATATTCATCAAAACGGCAGTTGTTATGGAATTCGATGTGTTTTATCGACCCCTTTAGAATTCCTCTTAGTTTGGTCATCGGATGAGATTTGGGGACTGTGTTAATAATTAAAGCAAAAGTTGTGGTTATACAAAAAATGCTCAAAAGGTGGTGTTTATAAGTTCTTGTTAAAATGGGGTTTGTGTAAATGATACATACTTCCTCCGTCCTAAAATTCTTTTCTCAAATTTGTCTTAGATTTATCTAGACAAATCTAATCTAAGACAAATCTGAGACAAGAATTTTGGAACGGAGGAAATACAATTTATGGAATGCTCTTTGTTTTCCTTTTCCTACAATTTTGACTTTGTACTCTCACTACGTTTCCTACCCAACAAAGCGTACACACAACAACACGGGGATTCCCAACACGGAGGGGCGCAAAGTCATCGGGTGGACCCGTGAAACCATCGAACCAACTAAACAAGCACAGCTGACACCCACCCCTCCGCCACCGCAGTCGCCGGTGACCAGGACGCGCGCCCGAATTCGCCGGCGGCGAGGAGAAGGGCGCCGAGTATGGGGTGCTCCCTCTCGGGGCTCAACGCCCTCTACGACGCAGCGACTGGCGGCGGCGACGTGTGGATCAACGAGCGCCGCTTCCGCGTCCTCCGCCAGATCGGCGAGGGCGGCTTCGCCTTCGTCTACCTCGTCAAGGAGCACGACGCCTCCTCCTACGCCGCGCGCGACAGGCACCCCTCCCACGTCTCAGGTACCCCCCACCCGATCCCGCCCCACTAGCCTCCATGTCTCGCGTGTGTCACAGGTTATGCGCGTCCGTTTTGAACCCGTGAAATGAAATCCTTCACATTTCTTGAGCCGGCAAATGCACCCGTGTGGTTCAGTGTGCAGAATCGTGTGAATTTTGCTACTTCCGCTCCGCCCCTGCTACTAGATGTTGTCATGAGCAGGGTTTTAGTTTTGTAATGCTGGTTGTTGCATAGAACTGAAGTTTTTGTTTCCGTTGGTGCGTGAATCTGGGAATTTTATGAGATTTCTATGATTCTGATGCTGCCGTGCTAATGTTGGTTCAGACGACGGGACATATGCTATGAAGAAGGTGCTGATACAGAGCAGGGAGCAACTGGATCTGGTGAAGGAGGAGATCCGCGTTTCGTCCTTGTTCAACCACCCCAATCTGCTACCGCTTCTTGACCATGCCATAATAGCAGTTAAGGTAATACCAATATCAGTTTTGCTAAAGCACATCTAGATGTGCCATAAGTATTGCACATCTAAGTCATATGTCATTGATCTTACATTGAGATTCGTGTGAATATTTTCTTTCTCTTTTTTCTTTTTCTCTTTATGCTTGATTCACTCACTTAGATATGCAATAACTAGAGCACATCTAGATGTGCCCTAGACACACACAATATAACATGGTTTGCACCTGTCTTCCGTGCCCTGTGATGCCATATGCCATAGTCTTGAAGTATGTACAATCATGTTGAAGCTAGGCAAGTTAGCTGAGCTTTGGTAAATACTGTACACATGTCTGACAATCGAGGCATGTTTGTTTGGCGATTACAATCTGGAGATACAACAATTAATTGTTTGAAATAAACTCAGTAATGTCTTAGCCTGCCATAACATCTTATAGGCAACTTAATGTTAATTATTCGTCAATCATCACACCTTTGAATGTACATTTCATGTCGAGATGTCTTATATGATATTATAGAGTACACAGGGAGATTGGAGCCATGAAGCCTACTTACTCT